GATTAAACAACTCTGAGCAAGAGTCGTATGACGCTCTTTGAAATCCTGGTAGAAACAGCATGCTCGATTGTATCTCAAAATTTGTGAAACACCAAAGGCAGGAGCTGCCGCAATAGTGCTCGACATAAAGGGAAAGTTGACTATTGGAAAGATGAAGTCATCCCTCTTGTCATACAGTCACGTGGAGAGTGACTTGTCACACTGAATCTTTATGCATAGATCTAAATATGAAACAGACGAGGCGGTGTCACTGGACCCCTTTATTTCTTGTTAAGGTATGTAAATCAGTGGAAGGGAACTGGTCATGTGATGGTCTTCCTCTTACTGTTATCAACAGTTCTGCTTTATCTTATTCACGTGTATTTTCATAGGCACGGACAGGTTATGCAGAGACCGGGCAAATGAGTTTACAAATCTGGAAAGAAAGTGAAGAGATTTCACAGAAACTGATAAATTGAATTCCTGGACTTTTATGTGAGCGGCATAGAGATTTTACGTGCGCATCAGAGGTGTGGAAATTGCGAAACCAGAGGACATTCCTTTCACATATGTTTATCTTTTGATTTGATTCACTGAAGTTTTCAACTCTTACACATATATTTCAAGTGTATCGGACAAAAAGCTTGACTTCAAAATATCAGTTTCTGCCTTCTTTATAGTCATTAATTATAAAAGGTTAATTCTTCCGCTGGTATTTCCCGCATCAATTGTGTACAGACGATTCTGTGCACAGACAGGTATTATCTTTCGTTGTGGAATTGATCGCAGAATGGGGAAACTCATAATTTGTACCATGAACAAGTTGGACGGAAGCCATTCTTTTGAAGAAGGAAATCATATCGTCAGTATGGGAAAATACGGTTGATAAATTTCTACTGTAGTTGTGACAGTTAGTTTGCTGTGTTCTCCACGCATCGCGAGCTACATTCGCGATAGAAGTCCCTGTAACGATGTCTGACCATCCGCGTCACAACAACATTTCGCACGTCGTGTACCAAGTATGTCATTTTTGTCACTGTAAACATGTCAATATACACTCAAATGAGTTAATTAATACAAATGAGATAAAGTTTATATGTAAAAGAATTTATCAATTCTCATTACAGGATCTGGCTATCTGATTGGCCAGACGCCGTCTTGTAAGTTGGCATATCATGACGTTATAAGGTTCGTTGTGACGTCACTGACTTAAAACTCAACAATTGACCCTGGTCGCACTTCGAATTACCATACACAAAAGTGCCAGGGTAGTCACGACCTTTATTACCCGCGTGGTGAAGATACAGGTGGTGAGATACTAAATCCGTACGTCACACTTGTGTCGTACAATGTTGACCTCGTTTTGTTCGTTTTGATTGGATAACCGTGACCTCTGTCACACCGGGACTACTTTTTTCATTCATAAAAACTCGCGAGACATTATTTTATTTGCAACTATGCAGAACTGAACCAATCTCTAAGGAATCGTGTGCTATTAAGACTCTTTCATATTTCAACCCCTACATCCACTGAGCTTTTGTAACAATAAACTACAAGATCATGCAGAGTTACAAGTGGTGCTCTGTAAATAATCGAGTCGACCAGACAATCCAGTGACTGATATTATGAACAATGACCCACATTGTCGGAGTGCGTTGACACGCTATCACTCAAGTCATGGCACCTGATCCATAACGTAACTCAAGTCATCGCACCTGATCCATTACTTCACTCAAGTCATCGCACCTGATCCATTACGTCACTCAAGTCATTGCACCTGATCCATAACGTCACTCAAGTCATCGCACCTGATCCATTACGTCACTCAAGTCATCGCATCTGATCCATTAAATCACTCTAGTCATTGCACCTGATCCATTACTTCACTCAAGTCATCGCACCTGATCCATTAAGTCACTCAATTCATCGCACCTGATCCATTAAGTCACTCAAGTCATCGCGCCTGATCCATTACGTCACTCAAGTCATCGCACCTGATCCATTACGTCACTCAAGTCATCGCACCTGATCCATTACTTCACTCAAGTCATCGCACCTGATCCATTTCGTCACTCAAGTCATCGCACATGATCCATTACTTTACTCAAGTCATCGCACCTGATCCATTTCGTCACTCAAGTAATTGCACCTGATCCATTAAGTCACTCAAGTCATCACGCCTGATCCATTACGTCACTCAAATCATCGCACCTGATCCATTACTTCACTCAAGTCATCGCGCCTGATCCATTACGTCACTATAGTCATCGCACCTGATCCATTAAGTCACTCAAGTCATCGCACATGATCCATTACGTCACTCAAGTCATCGCACCTGATCCATTACTTCACTCAAGTCATCGCACCTGATCCATTACGTCACTCAAGTCATCGCACCTGATCCGTTACGTCACTCAAGTCATCGCGCCTGATCCATTACGTATCTCAAGTCATCTTACATTATCCATTACTTCACTCAAGTCATCGCACCTGATCCATTACGTCACTCAAGTCATCGCACCTGATCCATTACTTCACTCAAGTCATCGCACCTGATCCATTACGTCACTCAAGTAATTGCACATGATCCATTAAGTCACTCAAGTCATCGCGCCTGATCCATTACGTCACTTAATTCATCGCGCCTGATCCATTACGTCACTCAAGTCATCGCGCCTGATCCATTACGTCACTCAAGTCATCGCACCTGATCCATTACGTCACTCAAGTCATCGAACCTGATCCATTACTTCACTCAAGTCATCGCACCTGATCCAGTACGTCACTCAAGTAATTGCACCTGATCCATTAAGTCACTCAATTCATCGCGCCTGATCCATTACGTCACTTAATTCATCGCGCCTGATCCATTACGTCACTCAAGTCATCGCGCCTGATCCATTACGTCACTCAAGTCATCGCACCTGATCCATTACGTCACTCAAGTCATCGCACCTGATCCATTACGTCACTCAAGTCATCGCACCTGATCCATTACGTCACCATGGCTGTCACAGTCAGCGGAGTGCTCAGTGAGGCAGTATAACTGCTGATGTGTTGGCCAATCTAAAACCCTGTGTCCGTGAAAAAACAATTGTTCCAGCAAATAATCATTTAAATGTAAAACGCCAACCCCAGAAAATAACTGGTCTCGATTACCCTACGAAACAGATCTCATCTGGGCGTAAAAGGCAAAATAGCGGTGACAATTATATGAACGATGTTCGAGGTGTCCGCTAAAGTGACCTTCCTGATTCAGTAAATTGCAAAGACCTTGCTCCCAGCCTTGCACCAACCTGGTGATAACGTTGAGTATGATGCTGATTTACTCCTGGGCCCACTTGCACAAAGCGATCTTAACTACAACTATTGTAAGCCTATGTTAAAGTATGGGAGTTACGATCATCTTAGTGCTAACATCGCTTTGTGCAAGTGGGCCCTGATCATGATGCACTCCAGTGTCAAAGTAAGGATATTACATATGGATGAACAACTTCTTTATTACAATTAGAACCTACACACTCAAGTAAGTGTCTGATAACGATCTTAGAACCTACTTACTCAAGCAAGTGTTTGGTAACGATGTTAGTACCTATACACTCAAGCAAGTGCTTGTAAACGGTGTTAGAACCTACACACTCAAGCAAGTGCTTGTAAACGGTGTTACAACCTATACACTCAAACTAGTGCATGTAAACGGTGTTAGAGCCTACACACTCAAGCAAGTGTTTGATAACGGTGTAACAACCTATACACTCAAGCACGTGCTTGTAAACGGTGTTACAACCTATACACTCAAGCAAGTGTTTGATAACGGTGTAACAACCTATACACTCAAGCACGTGCTTGTAAACGGTGTTACAACCTATACACTCAAGCAAGTGTTTGATAACGGTGTAACAACCTATACACTCAAGCACGTGCTTGTAAACGGTGTTACAACCTATACACTCAAGCAAGTGTTTGATAACGGTGTAACAACCTATACACTCAAGCACGTGCTTGTAAACGGTGTTACAACCTATACACTCAAGCAAGTGTTTGATAACGGTGTAACAACCTATACACTCAAGCACGTGCTTGTAAACGGTGTTACAACCTATACACTCAAGCAAGTGTTTGATAACGGTGTAACAACCTATACACTCAAGCACGTGCTTGTAAACGGTGTTACAACCTATACACTCAAGCAAGTGCTTGTAAACGGTGTTACAACCTATACACTCAAACTAGTGCATGTAAACGGTGTTAGAGCCTATACACTCAAGCAAGTGCTTGTAAACGGTGTTATAACCTATACACTCAAGCACGTGCTTGTAAACGGTGTTACAACCTATACACTCAAGCAAGTGTTTTATGACGATGTTAGAACCGTCGCCTTCCGGCTTGTCCCGGAATGACACGAGTGGTCACAAGTAAATAGCATGTCCGTTGTTGCAGCTACTGCGCAGCACCTCAAGGTTACATTCGGCGTAACACCCTATATAAAGTTCGTCACTTTGTCATTCCGTGATCTCATGAAAGGCGCAGGTACGAGCGTCCACGCAAGCTAGTCATATATAAACCAACCAGTCCGTGAACAAAGCAACCGTAGAACAGTAACAACAAAAACGACATTGAACTCAAAGAAGCCGCGAAGTAAGGTAGAACGGCACGATTAAGCACATCCGCTGGGAGCACATCTATCCATGAGAAGGTTGTTTGGGGGTGTTACACAACCCATTTTGACCCTTTAATCCTACCTTTTTATGACAATTTTATTTCCCCAAAGTTACAATTGGCTAAGGTTTTTAGCTGTATCAACGACAACATACGCAGAGAAGTGTCGAGTCATCTCAAGTGGGCCGTGGTCGATGCCATTGTGGACATAAAGAATCGGTAATCACAAGTAAACATGCCTTGGGGGATCTCATGCGCGTGTGGAATTGATTGATATTTAATTGATGAGTATCTATTTGGGCGTGGGTAAGTTAAACACTTGCTGATGAAGCTGGTGTCTCTAGCACTCTTACATTGTAACTCTCTTCATGCACAACGTCTCTACATGTCTTCTACTTTGCAAAGAGTAAGTAAACACGTTTTTCTTATAATTTCACCACTATTTTGCCTTCACACCCACTTGAATCTATTTCCGCAGATAACAGAGGCTGATTGCTCTCTGGCGTTATCGTTGTTCCCTTTGACATGTCCCTTTGGGTTTATAATGATATAACATGGCAAATGGTCTAGTCTGAAGTTATTACTGTCTAGTCTGGTGTTATTACTGTCTAGTCTGGTGTTATTATTGTCTAGTCGGGTGTTATTAAAGTATACTTGTCACGTGAACATATTTCATGAATCATTTAATGACATATTTACACCTGAAATAACATTTATTTGAATCATTTTTTACTCCCATACGCAAATTGTTTCCCGAATATTTGTTGGACATGTCTTACGTACATATGGTTAAGTACGTTCCTCCATGTTATATGTGAACATCATGTCTGTAAAGTATGAAGGTTCAGCATTGAGCACAGCACTGATTTACAGCTACCTGTGCGGCTGTACTGAATCTCACTGGTATATTGTCATAACAAGGTCTGAGTGATTGAAATGTGCAATGGGTCTATGAAATGACTGCATGCAGTGTATATATCATTTGGACATTGCTACGAGTCACACGAGACACTGAAAGTATATACAAATACCGGATCAGATGAAGATGAAGGGGATGCATTTAACTTTCTTGTTACGATAGCTGGAAGCTCGGAACTCTCTTGTTACGGTAGCTAGAAGAAATGGACTTTCTTGTTACGATAGCTAGAAGCAAGGGACTTTCTTGTTACGATAGCTATAAGCAAGGGACTTTCTTGTTACGGTAGCTAGATGCATGGGACTGTCTTGTTACGGTAGCTAGATGCATGGGACTTTCTTGTTACGGTAGCTAGAAGCGTGGGACTTTCAGATGACAACTGTACTGCTTGTTTTTGCATACAATAGAGCACTTTTCACTTGAATATTCCGATATTATATGTGTCTTTTGTAATGTTTAGCATTGTAAATTTCAAATTTAAAAAAATTAGTAAATGACTAAAACATACGCTGAGAAAGCATTTATGTCTGACAGTAGAAATTTAAAAATTTAATTAAAGTACTTGTTTATTTTTTTCGCGTTGGCCTTTTATAATTCTGAATATATTTAAGGGTCAACGCTGGAAGAAAAACATGTGTTTCCTTGTTGAAATGTTAAGCTGCAGTCACGTGATACTGTTTTTTTCCATGTATCACGTTTAATGAAATCATATTGAGAGTTTAATAAGTGGCATTTAGCAAATAAATGTACCAGAATGTTCCGAAGGTGTTTTGGTCATACACCAGGCAGCGTGTGTGAGATGCTTCATTGTTACTTATGTTTTCAAATTGTCGCAGTGATGTCATAATATTCGACAAATGTGTTTGCCTTAAAATCTTTTTAAACCTTCACCACAACAGTTGTATTTTCTGGGATTTAGTAAAGCCTTCATATTACTGTGATCATATTGTCATAGTAGGGTCGAGAAACAAGGTAGGTTATCTACAATTCTACTCCTTGTCGGAAGGTTGAAGTTGGAACGGGGATGTGCATACATTTTGTGAGAACAAAAGCATACATTTCTTACTTAAATGTATTGTATATTCATCATGCAATCATAGCAGTATCATCATTCCCACTCGTGTTGTCATGTACAACCATCGCATCTCAATACGGCGAGTCATGCAGGGTAACAGGTACAGAGGCTACACATGCATATATTCTACTCGAGACAGCATTTACTATCGTAATGTGAAAGACTCGAGTGTTTTTTAACTTCTTTTAAATAGTAAATGTTACCGAAACTTACTTTGAGTGAGTGAGTATGGTTTTACGCCGCTTTTAGCAAAAGTGTACCTATGTCGGGAATCGAAACCCAGGTCTTCTGTGTGACGAGCGAACGCTTTAACCACTAGGCTACCCTACCGCCCCGAAACTTACTTTGAATTCAGTATAGCCAAAGTTTGGTGTTTTCAAGGTCATGGACAGGAATGATATACGTGTACATGTTGGTTGTCAAGGATCTTGGTGATTTGAAGGTCATGGACAGGAATGATATACGTGTACCTGTTGGTTGTCAAGGATCTTGGTGATTTGAAGGTCATGGACAGGAATGATATACGTGTACCTGTTGGTTGTCAAGGATCTTGGTGATTTGAAGGTCATGGACAGGAATGATATACGTGTACATGTTGGTTGTCAAGGATCTTGGTGTTTTGAAGGTCATGGACAGGAATGATATACGTGTACACGTTGGTTGTCAAGGATCTTGGTGTTTTGAAGGTCATGGACAGGAATGATATACGTGTACATGTTGGTTGTCAAGGATCTTGGTGATTTGAAGGTCATGGACAGGAATGATATACGTGTACCTGTTGGTTGTCAAGGATCTTGGTGATTTGAAGGTCATGGACAGGAATGATATACGTGTACATGTTGGTTGTCAAGGATCTTGGTGATTTGAAGGTCATGGACAGGAATGATATACGTGTACCTGTTGGTTGTCAAGGATCTTGGTGATTTGAAGGTCATGGACAGGAATGATATACGTGTACATGTTGGTTGTCAAGGATCTTGGTGTTTTGAAGGTCATGGACAGGAATGATATACGTGTACATGTTGGTTGTCAAGGATCTTGGTGTTTTGAAGGTCATGGACAGGAATGATATACGTGTACATGTTGGTTGTCAAGGATCTTGGTGATTTGAAGGTCATGAACAGGAATGATATACGTGTACATGTTGGTTGTCAAGGATCTTGGTGATTTGAAGGTCATGGACAGGAATGATATACGTGTACATGTTGGTTGTCAAGGATTTTGGTGGTTTGAAGGTCATGGACAGGAATGATATACGTGTACATGTTGGTTGTCAAGGATCTTGGTGATTTGAAGGTCATAGACAGGAATGATATACGTGTATCTGTTGGTTGTCAAGGATCTTGGTGATTTGAAAATTCATGATTGGTGTTATAAGAAACGATAAACATAAGTTGACACACTATTGTCAGTTCACCGAGCCTGGCGATACGATCCACGAAGTCCTCGTACAACAAACAATAGCGGGGAACCAATCCTTACACGAGGACCCCGCGTGGATCAGTAAAGTAACAAAAAGGATAACACATCGTGACAAGCGACGAAGCTTCATTGCTGATATATACACTGCACGACCATGGATCTCTCAGCTAACTGTTTATTTCAACAGGACAATATGTGGCGGATGCTGATGTGCCTAGGTGCTCTCGCGTCCGCCTCAGCAGGGGACTGTCGGTCCCTCTTCCTATTCGTCACAGGTAAGTAATGAGAAATACACACAGACACTGAAGGCGCAGGGCACAGTCGGCTCCTACTACGTTACCTGCATGAGAAGCCGGGCATGTGATATTGCATGACCGATTCCTCTATATATAATTCCTTCATGACAGCATATTTCAGAAGCTTTTGTATGGTTAATAGAAATTGCCTATGGAATTGAATATCGAGCAACATGTCTATAAGAGTCAGGACTGTCGCTAATGTGTTTCGTAAAGTGATAGTTACGTGAGCTAGTGAAACTAGTAAATCGCGTCCGATAATGATTGGAGTTTATTTGTCAGGTCTAATGGCACGGTATCTAACTGAGCGGAATGTGGAATACAATCACAGATTTAAACTGATGTCAGCATCATATCCATGCTATCGAGGTATATAAACAGGTAGGAATACTACGATCAGCTACATTTGGGTTTTTTCCCCGAGCCTAGCAGACTAACAGGCTGTGATATAACTATCATACGTCTTAAGGCAGTACTAACACGGCAACTATCTCTGGTGTTATTCGTACTCAAACATTGCGCCCTTTTGCTTTCCTATAAAAGAACGTATCTTCAAGAAGAATGAGTGAGTGCGTTCGGTTTAACAAAAAAATTTTTATTTCATGACGTGTGAACTTGATGCAGGTCTCAGACGTTTACCACTTTGGTAAAAGACACACGAATGGGTATGGTGCTGACAAACCTAGAAACATGATCGAGGCGAATCTGGTGGTTTATTTCAAGAACAAGAACTATCATATGTGCGATTTTTTTTATTACCTTTTTATTTTACAGATAAAGATTGCATTGCATTTCTCATAATTATTGTGCATTTTTTTATTATTTTTACATTTCTGCTAGACAATGGATACATTCAGGGTCGTTTTACTGGGACAATGGAAGCAGAAAATGGATACATTCAAACGGAATGTGGACTCGAGTGTTCTTGTTATGACAATGTTTTCCTATGTTGCAGGTGAGGTTCATAGAATATACGCCTTTCATATACATATATTGTCAGGACAATCAATGGACATTATTATTTGGACATTTTTGAGCTTGAGAATAGTGAAGTGTCGTTCCTTTCCTGATATAGAAATAAAACTGCTGCTGCTGTTGTAACTATCTATTTTGTTTTAATATTGACAATGTATGTCCTGTGGGCCAGTGACCTTTTTGACTTGAATAAACACCATGTCATCAATTTGAACAGTTCATTACAAGAACTATACAAAAAGATATAGTTGATGCTTGGGGCCTAGCTGTCAAAATAAAACTGCTGTCAAAGTAAATCTAAGGATGTGAGCAATATTTTTATAGGTGACAATTTTGAATCTTGAACTAGTATTATGCATTTACGTGAATCGTTCTCTACATTACAGTCTTGAAGGTCGGGCGTTGTCAGGAATACCTTATTAGAGAACCACTCGCTGAGACAGTATAATGTACTATTTCCGTTATTGTAGAACATATCACTTGACGAAAGCGGTCAAATAAGGAAAGTGTAACTTCTATTGTATACCCTTCCAGTGACGCGGACTGCATCCACATGAACCACGCCTGCCCAGCAGACACCTACATCGCTAACGTTCCACCAGAGGCTCCGGCAGTGGAACCGGCCCACGGCACCATTACAGTTCTACCACACATCGTGTCGGATCCGAGCAAAGTAACTCAACGTCATTCAGACACCATCCTCATCCCCAGTCAGAGCTCTGCTCCTCAGTCAACACAGGATGTCAAGTATGTGCCAGAGAGAGGACATGGCCCAGGGGATGACCATGGCGAGGTTGGTCGAGTAAAGGAGGTGCTGGCTCTAGCTTCAGATGTTCCTCCACACGGAGGTGCTCGCCATCCCACAGGCCACACTGACACGACGATTCTGCCACGCCACATACACATGTTGAGAGCACTCAGACTTCGTGTGGACCGCGGCAGGAGATTGGAAGCACCATTGATGCAGATCATATTAAAAAAGTGATCAGTTGTCAAGACAACCTGGACACATTCTTCTAAGACAGATCGCGCTAAGCCGAATTGACGAAATTTCAAAGTTTGCAAAGCCATCCATGATATACATTAGCATTTGTGGTATATGGGTCTTGTTTGCACAATGACACGCGTCCGTGTAGCATTTATCTATGTTTTGGCCTTTTGGAGTGTGTTCAGATTTAAGAAAATAATAAGTCTAGTTTGTTGATTTCTTATGGGATTTTGTGTGAAATTCTAGAACAATATCTCTAACAATTTTCCTTTTACCCTTTAACGGCTGTGTGTGTGCGTGTGTGTGTGTGTGCGTGTGTGTGTGTGTGTGTGTGTGTGTGGGGGGGGGGGGGGGGGGGGGGGGACATTCACACCAATATTTCTATGCGCAGTACAGGTATGTGTACATATAGGCACATGTTCGTGTTTCAACTCACTTGTCTTGAACAATACCAGCGCACAATGGCCCTACACACTTGGTTGTATATCGGAAAAGGGGCGTGACTCGGAAATACTGGAAATTGTAAAGTAGTGTTTATGTTAAGGGTGTTTATCGTCACTCGATAAGTACAAGGCCAGGGGGCGTATACTAGATCTACGGTGGCGTTCCTACAATACAGATAGGCGGTGCAGTGACATCGGCTGTTGGTGATTGTGGGCAAATACTAACTCCCCCCTCCAAGTCGTTCGACGGTGTATAATGCTGCGTGAAGTAACCAACAGCGCATAGTGTCTACAAACCTGCTTTGTATAACTTTCATTATTCATAGGATATTTTAAGGGCTATTATTGGAGAGGTTCAAGTCACATATTCCAACAGCGATAAGATGAATTTTAAAAAGTTCCTTTGTGTGCTGTAAAATTGGTTTTGGTATTGGACGTTTGTTGTACATTATATAAGAATTTGAATGAAAATTAAATAAATTGTATATTCAGCATGAAACATATCCTAGAACTAAAATGTATCCATGTCCACACAACGAGGAAATGTAAGAACCTTCAAAGTTTATTGGACCTGGTATGCTTTTATTATTCCAGTATGAAATATTATACATGTAACAGCAAATATGAAGAAGTAATATAGATGGGAAAAAAAACGAAAAAATGGAAACAGTATAAATAATAAAACATTTTATCTTTTCGGCCTGTTTTCTGAACTGTTCCTTTATATTAAGATAATAAAACATCGCCATCTTTGACGTGGGATCGGCAATAATAACATTTTAAGAAACACATGACCCTTGACATTGTTCACACCAAGTACTGAACAAGTGACCAAAACGAACAGGAAAGCTTCTATTTGTCCATACTTAGGTCCGGCTCATGGGTCAATATTGATCTTTCAATATTCTAACAGTACAACAGAAGAGTAATTGCCCCATCATAACCATTTCATTTATATACTCTTCATAAAAACGAAATGTTACACTGGAATTATGGGGGGTGATTAATGATTATTTTACCACGGTACTGAAGAACATTGATTCATGTGAACATGCCTTTTCACACAAAAACCTTGCGTATGAAAACATCGATCATTCGACGGCCTACACGTGGGTGCATACAACAATGGCTGCCGGTAACGCATTAGAATTGTACACGTTCTGTATCGGAACGACAGCTAGTCAAACATTATGAAATCGGTTTCAGAACACACACAGTGACGTAACACACACACTGACCAGAGAATCAGGACCAAGCAGTCATTGGCCATAGAAATAATCTCTCAGGATCACTTGTGTGGTACAATCCCGACTCGCCTTCAATTAAAAACGGCGGTTTTCAGCCTTACGTCAGGGTGGTTCTGTTGGCAGCAATGGACATTAAAGTGTAACGGAAGTAGGTCAAGTTCAGCCATGTCGAATTTCGGAGTGTAGATACAGTCATTCTGAATATGTGTTACTGTTATTGGGAAGGTATTCCAAACCGCAAAAGAGTGAGTGGGTGAGTTGGGTATAACGCCGCTTTTAAAAGTATTCCAGTTATATCGCGGCATGTCAGCTTAATTTGGGAGGAAAGCAATCACAGGTTCTGGCGTGCCCAAGCGAATCGCGGCCAAGTAGTGACACAAATATGGATAGAATGGGTCTCTAAAACACAGCTGAAAAATGTCATGTTACAAAGTAGAGCATGATTTTTATGAAAATAAAAATGCACGTTTTTTGGTGCCTTTTTCTGATAAACGGCACCCCAAAATGTGGATCCAACATTCTTGTATCGATACTAGGGTCATGCCAGGGGATGAGAGAAACCGGGCTTCAGGAAGGCGGTATGCACGAATGGTTGTCCATGCTTTTCATGTCCATGTGAGAACCATCTACAGTTTACAGCAACAATACCAGGTCACCAACAGCACCAATGGCCGCACAGATTGTGCGTCCACATCTGCAGGAACGTTTCACCATGCGGGCTACAGAAACTGCACGACAAAGACTTGGAACGCATCAGTGCTGATATAGAGCGTCGAAGTTTGGCCGACGAATGTCCACTATCAGAGATTGTATCATGGCCACGCAGCATCAAAATTGGCGTTATCGGCAGTGGAGAGGCGCTCTTTTCTCCGACAAAAGTTGATACTCCGTTTCCACGGCCGATGGCAGAGTGGGTGTTTGGCTATTCAGATTGCTGACTCATGGGAGTCACGTTCTTTTGCCGTTCTATATATGTTAAGAATGTGATTTTATAAGTTATTTAAGCAATAAATTAGTTCAGCTATATGTTGTCACCATGTCTTTAACCTGTCACCACTACTATGGAAGATATTTTCATTTTATATAAATGACTATGACTTGGTCGAGTCAAAGCAGTTCAAATATGCAACAGGTTGCGATGAAATTAAATCTATATCTATAGGGGGTTATTTCAACCATACATTTTAAAGAAACGTGTATACTGTAACCATTTTTTGAACTAGTCAAGACTATAAGTAATTAACCTTGAACTTGAGTAAACATGTGGTATTTTTGCCACGACGTGAGACCCCTTTTCGTAACGTTCTAAGATAGCTGACCTATTTGCCCATGTGTAGGTACGCGTTCCAAGAGAGCATCGTTTTGAACACGATCTTGTCTTCATGGATAATGAAGAACCTAAAGCGCTCGGTTCCAAAGTGAAAAAGAGGTATTTAATCTACTGTGAAACTACCTCAAATTTCAGTAGGTAACCTTCTAATTGCTGCTGTAAGCAAATATATCGGTAGGGGATCGTAAATGCGTCTGTGTTTAACGACCAAAATATATTTTATATAGATAACAATTAATATCTAACATTCTGTAGGCCTTCAAGTGTAACACCCGTGAAGATCCGGGTTAGAATTGATCTTCAGCAATCCATGCTTGTTTATGTCGTAAGATGCCACTATGCTTGTCGTAAGAGGCGACTAACTGGATTGCATGGATCGATGCTCATGATATCAATCACTGGATTGTCTGGTCCAGACTCGATTTTTTACAGACATACAGCTGAAAAATTGCAGCATCAAACAACAAACATGGTGTGTAATCATGATTTCACAGCCATTGTTAGTGTAAAACAAACACCATTGTTGAAGTGATGTTTAGGAACATCTCAGCTGTAATTACATCACAACCTTATCATGCTATTCAAAACAGGTACCCGTCCGGAGAGCGGAAGGTCGGGGGTTCGATCACCGGTAACGAGATAGATGTTAACAGACGGTATTTGTTGTTACCCTGCCTGGCCGTCGGCATTAAGGGGCTAAAACAAGGACTGGTCGGCTCGGAGTCAGGATACTGTGTCTGAGTGGGGTATTCATGTTAAACTGCGGCATGGTATCTCAGTGGGCTAGCACAATAAAATGGGCATTAGTCGGGACTAGTACAAGCAGTCACACATACACACATTACCACGTTAAACCCCATTTGACCATTTGGCCGTGATATTGCTTGAATATTGCTAAAAGCGGCGAAAAACCATACCCACTCACTCATCAAGGACTCTCTCACTCCGTATTTAAAGTAAAATAGAAGTATACCAATAACGTTATTCCAGCTATATGATGGCGGTCTGTAAATAATCGAGTTTGGACCAGACAATCCAGTGATTAATATCATGATCATCGATCCACGCTATTGGGATTGATGACATGCATCAACCAAGTCAGCGAGTCTGACCACCCGATCCCGTTAGTCGCCTTTCACGACAAGCATAGTCGCCTTTTACGGCAAGCATGGGTTGCGGAAGACCTATTCTACCCCCGAATCGTCACGGTCCGGCCACAAAGTACACATATTTGAAGGAAAGTGTTTTAGGAATCGAATCGTGAAGCAGTTTTCATGGGATTACGATTCGTGTAACAAATGCTATATTTGGGATAACGCTTTCCAAGTAAAGTACAGATTCTCGTACATTTTGGGATTGAGTCCCGTCCGTTAGGTTGCTGACTTTATGATTAGGTGCCTCACTCTAGTAGTGTGGGCTTGAATCCCGGATGGGACTCAACCCAAAAAAATACGAGAATCTGTACTTTACTAAGAAAGTGTTATCCCAAATATAACATTTGTTACATTTGAGCACTTTCTAAATGACATTGTGTGTTGATTACGGTTCGTGTACAGTATGGCAGGGTTGTTAGTGCGGTACGGTTCGGATACAGTATGGCAGGGTTGTTAGTGCGGTATGCTCCGGATCAAGGATGCATCAGGCGACCCCATGGAACAGTCCCTAGCTCTGTGTAGCGACAAGTCAATATCAACATCGTTTATAGGGAGCAGCACAAGGATACGGTTATCGCCGATAATCTTCTGGTATAGCTGGTATAACTTCAATGAGGAGGCTTTTCATAATCAGAGTTTTGTTTGTTTGTTTGCTGTTTAACGCCGCACTCAGCTTTATACAGCTATATGACGGCGGTCTGTAAATAATCGAAACTGGACCAGACAACCCAGTGATTGACATTATAAGCATCGATCCACTCAATTTGGGATACGATGACATGCATCAACCAAGTCAGCGAGCCTGACCATACGATTGCATAATCATAGTAAATGTATTACGATAAGAGATATTAAGATAAAACCCCTGAAAACTGTTTTGTCCGATGGATAAAAATGCAGACCAAACAATACTTATAGGATGCAGTATCGACACAAATGTCAAAACATCTGAAGAAGTTGTACATTTCAACGCAGGTGTTCAATGAGAGTGTCACGTGATTTTGTGAACGTTGTATCAACCAATCACAGACAATTTCCGCTGCACGGACTTTTGACGAGCGTTCACGTCAGACGACAAATGTGGATGCATTCAATAATGGAAAGTATTTATTATACTAATCGAAAACG